TGAAACGGTCTCAATCCAAGGGATAAACATCAAATGGACCAAATTTGGGAACCGGAAGAGGTAAGGAGTCCGAAATGTACCTCTGTGCCTCCACATTGTGGAAACTCACTTGTAGTGTATAAATGGAACTAGATGGACCAATACTTACCAAAACATGGACTATAAGGTTCTCCACATGACTCTGAAAACAAACATGAGTGAAACGGTCTCAATCCAAGGGAGAACATCAAATGGACAAAATTTGGGAACCGGAAGAGGTAAGGAGTCCGAAATGTACCTCTGTGCCTCCACATTGTGGAAACTCACTTGTAGTGTATAAATGGAACTAGATGGACCCATACTTACCAAAACATGGACTATAGGTTCTCCACATGACTATGAAGACAAACATGAGTGAAACGGTCTCAATCCAAGGGAGAAACATCAAATGGACAAAATTTGGGAACCGGAAGAGGTAAGGAGTCCGAAATGTACCTTTGTGCCTCCACATTGTGGAAACTCACTTGTAGTGTATAAATGGAACTAGATGGACCCATACTTACCAAAACATGGATTAATAGCTTCTACACATGACTATGAGGACAAACATGAGTGAAACGGTCTCAATCCAAGGGAGGAACATCAAATGGACCAAATTTGGGAACCGGAAGAGGTAAGGAGTCCGAAATGTACCTCTGTGCCTCCACATTGTGGAAACTCACTTGTAGTGTATAAGATGAACTAGATGGACCCATACTTACCAAAACATGGATTAATAGCTTCTACACATGACTATGAGGACAAACATGAGTGAAACGGTCTCAATCCAAGGGAGGAACATCAAATGGACCAAATTTGGGAACCGGAAGAGGTAAGGAGTCCGAAATGTACCTCTGTGCCTCCACATTGTGGAAACTCACTTGTAGTGTATAAGATGAACTAGATGGACCCATACTTACCAAAACATGGATTAATAGCTTCTACACATGACTATGAGGACAAACATGAGTGAAACGGTCTCAATCCAAGGGAGGAACATCAAATGGACCAAATTTGGGAACCGGAAGAGGTAAGGAGTCCGAAATGTACCTCTGTGCCTCCACATTGTGGAAACTCACTTGTAGTGTATAAGATTTACCAAAACATGGATTAATAGCTTCTACACATGACTATGAGGACAAACATGAGTGAAACGGTCTCAATCCAAGGGAGGAACATCAAATGGACCAAATTTGGGAACCGGAAGAGGTAAGGAGTCCGAAATGTACCTTTGTGCCTCCACATTGTGGAAACTCACTTGTAGTGTATAAATGAACTAGATGGACCCATACTTACCAAAACATGGATTAATAGCTTCTACACATGACTATGAGGACAAACATGAGTGAAACGGTCTCAATCCAAGGGAGGAACATCAAATGGACCAAATTTGGGAACCGGAAGAGGTAAGGAGTCCGAAATGTACCTCTGTGCCTCCACATTGTGGAAACTCACTTGTAGTGTATAAGATGAACTAGATGGACCCATACTTACCAAAACATGGATTAATAGCTTCTACACATGACTATGAGGACAAACATGAGTGAAACGGTCTCAATCCAAGGGAGGAACATCAAATGGACCAAATTTGGGAACCGGAAGAGGTAAGGAGTCCGAAATGTACCTTTGTGCCTCCACATTGTGGAAACTCACTTGTAGTGTATAAATGGAACTAGATGGACCCATACTTACCAAAACATGGATTATAGCTTCTACACATGACTATGAGGACAAACATGAGTGAAACGGTCTCAATCCAAGGGAGGAACATCAAATGGACAAAATTTGGGAACCGGAAGAGGTAAGGAGTCCGAAATGTACCTCTGTGCCTCCACATTGTGGAAACTCACTTGTAGTGTATAAGATGAACTAGATGGACCCATACTTACCAAAACATGGATTAATAGCTTCTACACATGACTATGAGGACAAACATGAGTGAAACGGTCTCAATCCAAGGGAGGAACATCAAATGGACCAAATTTGGGAACCGGAAGAGGTAAGGAGTCCGAAATGTACCTTGTGCCTCCACATTGTGGAAACTCACTTGTAGTGTATAAATGGAACTAGATGGACCCATACTTACCAAAACATGGATTAATAGCTTCTACACATGACTATGAGGACAAACATGAGTGAAACGGTCTCAATCCAAGGGAGGAACATCAAATGGACCAAATTTGGGAACCGGAAGAGGTAAGGAGTCCGAAATGTACCTTGTGCCTCCACATTGTGGAAACTCACTTGTAGTGTATAAGATGAACTAGATGGACCCATACTTACCAAAACATGGATTAATAGCTTCTACACATGACTATGAGGACAAACATGAGTGAAACGGTCTCAATCCAAGGGAGGAACATCAAATGGACCAAATTTGGGAACCGGAAGAGGTAAGGAGTCCGAAATGTACCTCTGTGCCTCCACATTGTGGAAACTCACTTGTAGTGTATAAGATGAACTAGATGGACCCATACTTACCAAAACATGGATTAATAGCTTCTACACATGACTATGAGGACAAACATGAGTGAAACGGTCTCAATCCAAGGGAGGAACATCAAATGGACCAAATTTGGGAACCGGAAGAGGTAAGGAGTCCGAAATGTACCTCTGTGCCTCCACATTGTGGAAACTCACTTGTAGTGTATAAGATGAACTAGATGGACCCATACTTACCAAAACATGGATTAATAGCTTCTACACATGACTATGAGGACAAACATGAGTGAAACGGTCTCAATCCAAGGGAGGAACATCAAATGGACCAAATTTGGGAACCGGAAGAGGTAAGGAGTCCGAAATGTACCTCTGTGCCTCCACATTGTGGAAACTCACTTGTAGTGTATAAGATGAACTAGATGGACCCATACTTACCAAAACATGGATTAATAGCTTCTACACATGACTATGAGGACAAACATGAGTGAAACGGTCTCAATCCAAGGGAGGAACATCAAATGGACCAAATTTGGGAACCGGAAGAGGTAAGGAGTCCGAAATGTACCTCTGTGCCTCCACATTGTGGAAACTCACTTGTAGTGTATAAGATGAACTAGATGGACCCATACTTACCAAAACATGGATTAATAGCTTCTACACATGACTATGAGGACAAACATGAGTGAAACGGTCTCAATCCAAGGGAGGAACATCAAATGGACCAAATTTGGGAACCGGAAGAGGTAAGGAGTCCGAAATGTACCTTGTGCCTCCACATTGTGGAAACTCACTTGTAGTGTATAAGATGAACTAGATGGACCCATACTTACCAAAACATGGATTAATAGCTTCTACACATGACTATGAGGACAAACATGAGTGAAACGGTCTCAATCCAAGGGAGGAACATCAAATGGACCAAATTTGGGAACCGGAAGAGGTAAGGAGTCCGAAATGTACCTCTGTGCCTCCACATTGTGGAAACTCACTTGTAGTGTATAAGATGAACTAGATGGACCCATACTTACCAAAACATGGATTAATAGCTTCTACACATGACTATGAGGACAAACATGAGTGAAACGGTCTCAATCCAAGGGAGGAACATCAAATGGACCAAATTTGGGAACCGGAAGAGGTAAGGAGTCCGAAATGTACCTCTGTGCCTCCACATTGTGGAAACTCACTTGTAGTGTATAAGATGAACTAGATGGACCCATACTTACCAAAACATGGATTAATAGCTTCTACACATGACTATGAGGACAAACATGAGTGAAACGGTCTCAATCCAAGGGAGGAACATCAAATGGACCAAATTTGGGAACCGGAAGAGGTAAGGAGTCCGAAATGTACCTCTGTGCCTCCACATTGTGGAAACTCACTTGTAGTGTATAAGATGAACTAGATGGACCCATACTTACCAAAACATGGATTAATAGCTTCTACACATGACTATGAGGACAAACATGAGTGAAACGGTCTCAATCCAAGGGAGGAACATCAAATGGACCAAATTTGGGAACCGGAAGAGGTAAGGAGTCCGAAATGTACCTCTGTGCCTCCACATTGTGGAAACTCACTTGTAGTGTATAAGATGAACTAGATGGACCCATACTTACCAAAACATGGATTAATAGCTTCTACACATGACTATGAGGACAAACATGAGTGAAACGGTCTCAATCCAAGGGAGGAACATCAAATGGACCAAATTTGGGAACCGGAAGAGGTAAGGAGTCCGAAATGTACCTCTGTGCCTCCACATTGTGGAAACTCACTTGTAGTGTATAAGATGAACTAGATGGACCCATACTTACCAAAACATGGATTAATAGCTTCTACACATGACTATGAGGACAAACATGAGTGAAACGGTCTCAATCCAAGGGAGG